ATATACCACACTATACATCCTGACAATGCAGCAAAAGGAGGCAGTGCAATAATAATCTTCTTCTTAAGGTACCTTCTCCTGAAGGTTGGCTATAACTACAGCAAATTGCTCTATATCTTGAGCTGTTCTTAGTATCGAATGTGTGTCCATACCTGTTCAGTCTCTTACATTCTTCAACCCGGAACATTTTCTTCTTCCTGGACCTCTTCTTCCTTCCACTTTCCCTTCCATTATAAGTCGTAGGAAGTTGTATTTTTCTCCTCTGTAAATGTCCTAGATAACTCGTTTTTTACAATATTTAGGAGTTCTCTCTCGGTACCCATTCTCCTTAGCACCTCGTTGTTGGTCACGTGCTCTGTCCAAGAGATCTTTAGCATCCTTTGAAAAACCCACATCTCAAAGGCTTCTATACGCCTCATACTTGTAATTCCGAAAGTCTATGTTTCCACTCCGTATAGCAATATGGATTAAATAAATGTTTTCACAAATTGGTATCGGATATCCAACGATAACGTAGAGTTTATTAGTAATTTTTTCATTAATTAAAATGCGGACCTAGCATATTCTATATGAGCACATATTTCGACCTCGTGGTCAAGATTGTTTGTTATCCAGCAACCAAGATACTGGAATCTTTGTACTGCTTCTATATGTTTGTTATAGATACGAATATTAATGTCGACATTTGGTGCACGTGTAACAACCATTACTTTTGTTTTATTTGTGTTTATATTTAGTCCCAAGCTATCTCCCTCTCTGGTTATGACATTCAAAAGTCGTTGTAAACCCTCAGCACTGACCGCAATAATGACGGTGTCGTCTGCGTAACTTGAGTTGTTTATGTATTTTCCAATAATAATAAATTTCTGCAATAATAATAAAAAATAATATTCAGCATTATGAGGAGCTAAAATATGAAACTGAACAGATACAAGCAATCTCACAGTATGTGTCAAGCTCAAAACTAATTGCGAAATTACTATAAGTTCAATTTATAGCCCCCTAAGCGTTCCGTTAAAAAAAAACAGTATCAAGAATATCTGAAGAGTATGGGAAAAAGATCTATCATAGGAGGTGACTTTAATACAAAGCACACTCAATGGGGATCAAGATTGACAACTCCAAAAGGGAACGAGTTGCTGGCAGCCATGAAAGAACAGAAATGTGAACCAATATCAACGGGTAGACCGACGCATTGGCCAAGTGATCGGAACAAGATACCGGACTTAATTGATTTTTTTTATTATTAAAAATATCTCAGCCAATTATGTAGATATTGATGATTGTTGGGATATGAAGTAAGTTCATTCACCCATAATGCTCACATTGAGTGACACGATTATTAGAAAGGAGTGTAATCCAATATTAATCAACAAATTAACAGACTGGGAAAGTTTTAAATAAGCCCCCTAAGAAAAAAGTGAATTATCTGTACAATTAAAAATATCTGAACAACTAGATGAGGAAGTAGAGTTGTTTGTTCGAAATATACAAAAATCAGCATGGGAAAACACTCTGATTCTAGTATCAAAAGTAAAAGGAAACAACTATCCCAAACAAATTAAAAAAAGTTAATTAAAGGGAAAATAAAACTAAGAATGAGGTGGCAACAAACCAGAGCTCCTCAAGATAAAACGAATTTGAACAATGCAACTCAAAAGCTTAAAAGAGAGATTCAAAAATAAAAAATGAATCAATGAGAAAGCAACGAAAAGGCTAAAAAGACCAGTAATCCATTCTCCACCCATTAAACTGGAAGGTGGTAGTTGGGCCAGGAGCAATAAACAAAAGGCAGAGAGATTTGCCACATATTTAGAAAATACATTCAAACCACATGAAGACCAAATTAATGATCAAATATGGATAGAGCCTAATCAGATAGAAGAGACAATCAGACTAACATCTCCAAAAGAAGTAGATAATGAAACAAAAAAAAAAATAAATCTGAAGAAAGCCCCAGATCTAATTACTAGAGTTACTAAATTACTAAAAACCTGCCTCGCAAACCATAGTAAAATTGACCAACCTAATTAATGCTGCTTTTAGATTAAAATATGTCCCAAATTTATGGAAAATAGCCAAGGTAATAATTATACCAAAACCAAAGAAATCGCCAACAGAAGTCTCTTCTTACAGGCCAATATCACTCTTACCAGTGATGTAAAAGCTGTTACAAAAAGGGGAAGAACTAGGTATCTGTTACAAGAAAATGTATTGGCTGATAGGAAGATATTCAGTTTTGTCCACACATAATAAATAACTGTTATACAAGCAAATAGTGAGACCAGTATGGATGTATGGTTGCCAACTCTGGGGCTGTGCTAATAAAAGTAATATCCAGATCATCCAGAGATTCCAGAATAAAGTACTAAGGAACATCGTGGATGCTCCTTGGTACATCAGAAATGTCGTCCTCCACAAGGACCTTAATATGGAAGATGAAAATAAAATTATCAAGAAGATGGCAGGTAGTCACAAACAACGGCTCCATATACATGTAAACATCGAGGCCATCCAGCTCCTCGATAATACTGGGTTAGAAAGAAGACTCAAACAAACAAAACCATTTGAGTTAGTGTAAAGTGTAAAAGCCAAGCATAATGCTGTGTTGTGAATTTGCATGTTAGGTATTAGTGCATAGCTCTTATAATGCATCCTTTAGTAAATTAAGACAGATAAAATAATTGGTCAGCTTTGACCAGATTCCAATGGTATAAACACAGTAGGTGTTTAATATAAAAAAAATAGAGATTTTGATAGATCTCAACTATGTAAACATGCATGGGAAAATTAACATAGGGTTCAATGGAAAGATTCAAATATAGTCCTAAAAGAAACAGATGGTATAAAGAGAATCAAAAGGACTCTAATTATGCTAAATGAGACACATTGTGTCGCAATTTCCTCGTGAAAAGTAAGAGTTACCCATATTAAAAGAGTTAATCAATAAACAGAAAATACCACTATTAGTAAGTCAATAACATATTGAGGATACACCATTTATGTTTTTAAATAACATACCTATAAAATCAGAGATTGGTATTTATTGAGATTAAACTAAATGTAAGACCAAATACTTACCATGTTAGGATATTATTATTAGGTTTTTTTCCTCATGATTTACTATGGAATCACTAACAGGAGAATTTTACCAACTGTCATCATTGCATCATTATCTTTTTGAAGACGAATCACATAATATGATTTTTCTAACAGGTATTCTCAAGTTAAAGTTGATTTCAATCTAATTGAATGAACTATCTTACAGTAAAGTCTTCCCAGAAACGTAACTCAACAATAGTGGCAATATCATTTTAAAGTTATCTACTTTAAAATGTATATGTCTGAATGGTCAATATGAATGAGTCAGATAAAATTAAAATATTAGAAGAATTTTTCACCAACTAACAAAAAACAAAATTTAATTTATTAATGTTTTGTGTTTTCTGAACAATTTCCGAAGTGGAAGTAAAAACGGTCAAAAATAAACTTATTTTAAACTTAAATTGATACTTATTGCCAATAAAAATAGTAATTGCACTAAGATGCCACAGGAAAATAGCTTCAGAACAATATTAATACTGGAAAATTGAATTTGGTATATATAATATACAGTACATTAAGTTTTGGATTAGATATTGCACACTACATAAAACGCTAAAATCGGCAACATTGCTTCGAACTACAACGCGATTGTATGTAATTCCCTCCGTCATTTTTAAAATCCGAAAATCATTTGGTAGCTCACAACAAGGCATAGGGTATACATCTCCGTCCTATGATCTTTATTTTCACTAAACTTTATAAGGCAGTGTATTTGTATCGGTTTTTAATAATGTAAACAATTTTTTGTGGTTGAATTAAAAATAAAAGCGCATTTCTATAAAAAGATAAAACATAAAAGATACTATTTTTAAAAATAAAAAATAATTCCTAATAAAATAAGAAATAATTCTTTGTGCCCTACAGAAATGAAAATATTTGACCTTCTAAAGCTGAACAGTATCCTAATCTGTCATAAAAACTAGTGCGGACAGGTGAAAGAGTTTCTGCTGTAACAGAATTGGTGACTTTTATTTGATTTTCTAATTCATCCAAATGTTGGGCTATAGCCTCATAGCTTGATGATGCTTTTTAAATGTCCCCAAAAAAAAAAATAAGTGCATGGGTATAAGATCTGAAGATCGCACAGGTCATTTAATATCGCCTGTTCCACTGATAACTCTATTTGAAAAAGTATTGCTTAAATACTTCCTAACTATTCGAGCATTATCAACTGAACCGAGCATTATCTCTTGATGAAACCAAACATTCTCAAGATTTACATCAGAAAGATTGAGAAAAGCGGGAAGAACATGATTCTGTAACAAATCGAGGTATACTTTACTGTCAAGTTGCCCTCGTATGTGTGACTATATTTTCTTCATTTATCTCATTGTTAAATAAACATCTAACTCTCTGTCTTGGACTTTTTTAGCTCAAGAATTCTTCAGAATAATCTATTACTCTAAGCTTCTCTTCGTCTCTATTAGTCAGGCACAGTGTCTCAGCTGCATAGGTTGTGACAGTGCTGATTGCTGTTTTTGAGATGTGTATTGTTACACCTAGATACTTAAATCTTACTTTTTGGAAGATAATATTGTTCAATCTTGGGACCTTTAATTGCTCTTACAAATCATACATTTTGAACTTTGACAGTAGTTAGCTACTTTGTTTTATTATCGAATAATCTTGTATATTATTGAACCAAAAATAAAAATGTATAAATTATTCTCTTCCGCTGCATATTAAATCTAAAAATTCGTTTTTTTTTGTTTCAGATGGGCTGCTTAAACATAAACAATAATATAGTGTTACGAATATATATTTTATTTGTACTAAGAATGTATATTTAAATAAAAATATTGTAACATACAGATTTTTATTTATAAAGTACCTTGATGTAATAAAATCTTGGAACATTCACTGTTTATAAAAAAATAAATACATTACACAGAGATGATTTTCTTAATTATATTTTCTAATAAAAAAAAAGAGCTAGAAATAACAAAATAGCTGTAGCGTTAGTGTAGACCTAATCATGAGTTTCGCCAGTTAACTGTTGAATTTTTTCTGTTAGCAATGCACTATACTCCTCATAATTAATTGGATCCACTCTTATGCAAACAGTTTTTAAGCGAGCTTCATCCTAAAAACAGAATTTATAATAATAATGTATATTATTTAATAATTATATATATACACACAACGCAAAAGTCTAGGGATATTTTTATAAATAGACATATTTTCTTTATCTGTAATAAACTTAAAAAAATTAATACAAAATTTGTAGTTTAAATTGTTGTTTATTATGTCAAAAACCATAAATTGTAAAAAAACAGAAAATTGGAACAAAAAAAAAATAATTGCAAATCACGCATGTTTCACATACCACCATAAAATGTCAAAATACGAAATATAAACTTAAAATAAAGTATGGCCACCACGTTGGTTTATCACAGCTCTACATTTACTGTTCATGCTCCGAATCACATTGTTAATGTCTGCTTGAGGTAGTTGTGCCCATTGTTCTCTCAGAAGCTCTTTTAATTGAAACTCATTGTAGATATTACCCATATGTGGAGTAACTCTTCGTTGGAGCATGTCCCATACATTCTCAATGGGATTCAAGTCCGGTGATTGTGCTGGCCACGGCAATACATCAATACCCTCGTTATCCAACCAGTTTGTTACAATATGCGCAACGTGTGGTCGAGCGTTATCATGCATAAAGTAAAAATTTTCTCCAACAGCAGCAGCAAAGGGGCGCACAATAGGTTCAAGAAGAGTGTCCAAATATTGCTGACTTGTGAGAAAGCCACGTGGGAAAATGAGGTCAGTTCTTCCGTTAATCATGATTCCGCCCCATACCATTAATGTACCACCTCTGTATGCATACACTTCTTGAAGATGTTGTAATCGTTCTCCATTTCCGGGTCGTCTCCAAACTCTTGTCCGACGACAATCTGGACGAAATCCATACCTAGACTCGTCACTAAACAAAACTGTGGCCCAGTCATGGTCAGTCCAATTCAGAAACTCGTGACACCAGGTTAATCTTGCAGCGCGATTGCCTCTAGATAGAGGTGGACATCTCAGTGGTCGCCGACTACGAAGATTGGCTTTATGGAGACGATTTCTCACAGTACTGCTGCTAATTGTTACATTATGTGCAAGTTGTAATTCATTAACCAGCTCTGGTGCTGTGGTTGTTGGCTGCCTTCTGGCATTTAAAATTAAATATCGGTCTTGAGCGACGGTTGTAGAGCGACCACGTCCTGGATGTTGCTCGTCTGGACTCCCAGTGTCTTTAAACCGACGCCACAAACGACTTACGACGCTTTGCGAGACACCCAGCTGGTCAGTAACTTGATTTTGTCGCATACCAGCTTGAAGGAGGCCCACGGCTCTATTCATCTCGTCCAACATTAAATGTTGTCGTTGCATGGTAAAATACAATATCTTTAACTTACTTTTTAACCAAGAATTGTATAAAGTGACTAAAATTAAAAATAAACAAAACATAAAAATGTCGATTTTTTTGTCCCTTATAAAAAACATTCTAAAACACGTATTGTGTGTACAGTTTTAAATTTTTTTTTTATAAGAAGTGAGTGTTCTGTATCAACAATTATAGTACAAGCAAATTTATATGGTCATACAATTTCTGTCATTGGTATTGTCAAATTAATAAAATATCCTTAGACTTTTGCGTTGTGTATATATATATATATATATATATATATATATATATATATATATATATATATATATCTTGATTATTTCGACCAAAAAAAAACAATTTATCAGTATGTTGGAAATATCGGGTATGTGGTCTATATGTCTATATTAAATAAAAATCTTTGTTTTTTCTAAAACTCAATATTTCGCTCTTTATTTAAAAGCTTCATCAGGAGTAAAGAACTTAAAAGATTTCACACATAATATAATAATAAATATCAAATTTATTTATGTGTGAAATCTTTTAAGTTCTTTACTCCTGATGAAGCTTTTAAATAAAGACGAAATATTGAGTTTTAGAAAAAACAAAGATTTTTATTTAATATAGACCACATACCCGATATTTCCAACATACTGATATATATATATATATATATATATATATATATATATATATATATATATATATATATATATATATACAGTGTAGGAAAAATTTTATGGTCGGTATGGTAAAATTTAACAGGATATCTAACGCAGATATAAAATCATATTTTCAGCGAATAGACAAAGATAACAATCATATTTCCCCTTGGTCTCCCTCCTCAAATATTTTTAACACCTATTGGCCATTAGTGAGACGAATAGTTCCGATCAGAGATATTTTACATATTCTGTGGTTCCGATCCTAATATACCTAAAAATCTAGAGGTGGGTCCTCCCGTTTTTTAAATTTTTATCGGAACCGTTTTTCGTAAACTGTAACTAGTTGATTCAAATTAGCGAGTACACAAACATATTGGCTATTATCGTTTATGTGTATAAGTATTGAAGTGAAAGAACCTAACGAAGGATATATTTATTATAACTTGAAAAATAAATTAAACAATACAAATAGTACTTACATTTACATTAAATCGTACTTACATTTACATTACACGTTATTATTAAATCGCGAATCGTCTAAATTGACATTTAAAAACAAGTGTTTCTACTTTACTTGTTAACAGTGTTCTTCTTTTATTTAAAATTAAACCAGATTTAAAACATGTGTTCACAAGGAAAAGATTTTGTTAAAATTCTACAATATTTTATGAATATAGTGGCTAAGTTAGGATATACATGGCGATGGTTTTTCCACCACGGTAATGGACAGTTCCAATCTCCGTTCGAAATTTATTGTGGGTAATATATTATCAGACAAATACATGTCGACTTCTTGTATATCTCTCGATACAGTTGTATGTTTGGATGAGTCATGTCCAATTAATTCATCAAAAATACACAATGGACTTAAGTCATCTTTATCAGTTTCTTTTTCTTGACTAAACTTATTGATTTACTAAACTTATGCAAAGACTCGTTTCATCCGTTTTCTATAGGTGAAGAACCAGCTTTTAAAAAGTTTACAGGGTGGATTCCTGGATATAAACCGCCAACAAGAAAAACTGTTAGATTCATTACTTCAGGAATGTTATGTCAAAACTGATTTGATAATAGATAAAATAAAAAGTCCTTTTTTCGACAATTCTGCAAAAAACATTAAAAAAAAGTACCTTATCTTCAGAAAGGCTTTTAAAGTATTAATTACAACATAACAAAGTTCCCAAACGGCCAATCCAAGACGTGGAAACTAGGTAGAACTTCACCTATTACAGGTTAAAAAGAATGACTGAGTTAGAAGAGGCAATTCGTTTCACTTCTTCTTCTTTAAGTTCCATCTTCTATCGAAGGTTGGAAATCATCATGGCTATGCCGACTCTGTTGACTGCCGCTCTAAAAAGGTCTGCACTACTGCATTCAACCATTCCCTTAAGTTCTTAGGCCAGGATATTCTTCGTCTTCCCACATTTCGCTTTTCTCGGATTTTGCCCTGCATAATAAGTTGTAATAATGCGTATTTTTGCCCTCTCATCACATGTCCCAAGTACTCAAGTTTTCGTCTTTTAATAGTTAATATTATTTCTGCCTCATTTCCTATCCTTCTAGTTTCTTCAATGTTTGACATTTTTTGAATCCATGATATTCGTAGGATTCTTCTGTAACACCAAAATTCAAAGGCGGCCAACTTATTCAGATGAACTTGTTTTAGTGTCCAAGCTTTCAGACCATAAAGAAGAGTAGAGAACACGTAACATCGAAGCATTTCTCAGGCGTAGTTCTAACCTTATATCCCGACAACAAAGAAACTTTTTAAGTTTAATAAATGATGTACGTGCTATTTCAATACGTGTCTTAATTTCTTTGGTTTGGTCTACATCTGATGTTATCCATGTTCCTAAGTATTTATAGTTATTAACACTCTTAATTGCAGTATCTTCAATAGTCAATTGGATATTTGTGCAGATTTAGTCATGATCATGCATTTAGTTTTCTTTAAATTTATCTTCAGTCCGTACTCATGACAGCGTTCGTTAAGGCGTTGCATTAGGTTCTTGTAAATCATTGTTGTTATCCGTAATTATTACTGTATCGTCTGCAAAACGTAAGTTATTCAAAACTTCTCCATTGATAGATATACCTTCTATTGAGTCTGAGAGCGCTTCTTAAAATACCGATCACTGTAGACATTGAAAAGTAGTGGGGACAGCACGCAACCCTGGCGGACTCCTCTCTGTATTTTGATATTTTCGGTGTACTGGCGTGTATTTCCGTTCCACATCAGTATTAAATAATACAGACTTAGACTTAGACCAAATCTAAATAAAAAACACTGGATTATTTGTTCTCAGCTTTCCCAAATTTTACGGCCGTTTAAAGAAATAACAAGTACAATGAGTGACCAAAAATACTTGAAGGGTAGTTCAGTGAATGTTATGGTACGCGGCCTGCAAGAATCTTGCAAGAAAATTTTAGCAAACGGTAACCTTACATCCATAGTATCCGACGTAGTACAATTACTAATATCGGGTTTAGCAAAAATATTTAAAGGGATAGAACAGAGTGGCATATTGTCATTATGTACATTTATGGATTCACCATTTAAAGTGCAGGGTTTTTCTGATAAAAATGAAGATAAAAAAATAAAAGAAAAAGTTAAGAAGCTGGTTACTTCTATAATTAACGAACAAGAAGATTGTACTATTTAAAATCAACCAGTACAAGAAAAAGAAACCAATAAAGATGACTTAAATCCATGGTGTGTATTTGATCAATTAATTGGAGATGGCTCAACTACACGTACACCTGTATCGAGAGTCCATTACAACGGTGGAAAAACCATCGCCATGTATATCCTAACTTAACCCCTATATTCATACAGTATTGTAAATGTGAACACATGTTCAAAATCTGGTTTAATTTGAAATAAAAAAAGAAGACGGTTAATAAGAAGTAGGTATAGTAGAAAAACTTATGTTTTTAATGTCAATATAGACTATTCGCGATTTAATAATAACGTGTAATGTAAATGTAAGTACGATTTACTATTTGTATTGTTTAGTTTATTTTTCAAGTTATAATAAATACATCATTAGTTTCTTTCACTTCAATAAATATACACATAAACGATAATAGCCATTATGTTTGTTTATGTAGGTACTCTCTTACTTGAAACTACTTTTAAACAATCATAGTTACTTGTTTACAAAAATTTAAATTTTTAAATTCATTCATTTTTTTTTGGAATCCTGAGAAAACTAACAAATATTTTTGAAAAATTTAAATGCAGAATAAAAGATTACATTATTACCGAGGGCCGAAAGTCCCTTAGAATAAACAAAAAGTTTTTTGAATGAGATATTTGAAATTAAAAATCACACTAATTTTTTTTCGCCCTTATAACTTATTAAAATAAACATTATAGAAGTTTTCAGGGACTTTTGGCCCTCGGTAATAATGTATTGGTTCATTCTGCGTTTAAATTTTTCAAGAATATTTATTAGTTTTATCAGGATTCGAAAAAAATGAATGCATTTAAAAAATATTAATCCGAATTTTATGCCTACGCTCTTAACGATAAAATCACCACGACCCACCTCTACTACCCATTATTCGGTATTCTGACCAGACGGACGACGTTGCCAAATAAATTATTGTGTATGAATATTTTTTAATGTGGTGTTATTGTATGCAGTTTATTATTTCATATTGGGAATAAGGCACAATGTGACTTTAAAATAAGCTTATTTTGATGTTTAGATTTTTAATTCGGAAATCGTACTTAAAATACGAAACATTAATAAATTTTATTTATATAAAACGATTTCCAAAGTGGAAATCAAAATGTTATATTACACTTATTGTAAAGTAAACTTGTGGCATATTCCCAATAAAAAAAAACAGTAAGCTGCCATTTAAATCAATTTCGCCCAAATTGGATTATCTTAGAACATTGTTAAAATGCAAAAAAAAACAACAGGTCAAATAAATCCAATAAGTTTGGCAACGTTGAACTTCCCCTTTCCAGGCATGCATGTTGTTCGGTGGTTTGGTGATATAAAGGGCGGACCTAATTTACCTCTCTCTTTCTAAACAGCTGTTTCTCACTCCATCTCACGTAAGGTCCATACCGACCATAAAATTTTTCCTACACTGTATATATATATATATATATATATATATATATATATATATATATATATATATATATATATATTAGCATTATAAATTTATAAACAGGAAATTTTAGCTATTATAATTAATATAAACGGTGGCAGTGATTCCAGTAACAGCTGTGAGATACACAGTGATTAGTACGTAAAGAGTCTTATGCCTCTTTGAGCATTAAAATTAAGCTTTATTTTTTATAGGTTAAACTGATGAAAGTTTTTCTAAAAAAACCATAATATGGACAAAAAAGTATAAGAAAGACTAAAATCTGGTATAACTTTTATCACATTTTATAAAAATTGTTCAGAAATTATATAAAACCATGATATGTACAATTGTATTGTATATAAAAAAATGTTTTTTTTAATTCTATTTTACTTCTTTAGACTACAAAATTGGCTCAAATTGTTTTTAATGTAAGATTATTACTTAATTCTTGTTTTTTATTTTTATTATTTTTTATTTAAATACATTGAATATTAATTTGTTTTGTTGTATGATCAATTTACTCCTGCAATAATTGTGGTATATTTTATTTAAAATGAATTCAGCATTTTTTTGTAATTTGGCAACGTCAACTTAGATCTCTGACGTAGATAATGACGTGCATCGGGATTTATACTGGACCAACTGTATTTATTTTGATTAGTATCAGTGGGAACGTTTGATAAATTTAATGTTTCTGTTTCCTGTAGATTGTATTAAATAAAAAATTGATTTTATTGATTTAAAAAGATCATTTTTTTCTTGTTTGACATTCTTGATATTAATCAATAAAATCTGCTGGCAATAAAGTGCCAAATTTATTGAAGATGAAAACAGACTGGTGGTTATTTTTAAAAATAAAAATTGGGTTTAGTTCAGTTTCCACAGTGTCATTAAAATAATGAATATTTTTAAACATATTTTGAAACGTATTGAAATATCAATGAAAACAGTTTTGATTAATTTCTTTATCTTTTAAAACATATTACAATATTATGAACAAGCAATACTTACATTGTAAGTTTCAATTTTTGCCCTGCAAGTAAGAGTAAACACTTTAAAATGAGCTCTATCTACGATATTTGCTATTTCTTCTTTATTATGTTCCAATGTCTGTCCTACTTCCTCAGCAGTCATCCCCAGAATTTTTTCGGCTTCTGAACTGAACATACTAACCCACTGGTTTCCTGTATGGTCTCCAACATTCATCTAAAAAAACAATTTACAGTCGTTTAACAACTACGAACATATGTCATCAAAAGAAATAATCAGATGCATCATTTCCAGATGTTGGTCTAGATTTTACAAAATTTGGTTCTAAAGTTTGTTATTTAAATAAAAATTGAATATAATACAAAATGATCACATATGCATCCTACATAAAATATACAAACTAGACAAAGATATAAAAAAATGCCAAGTACATAAGCTGATCATATTGCTGTACTATTCACAGACTCAGATACTGAAATAGTCATCATTTAAAGCAGCAAGTAAATATCGAACATAATCTATTATCACGAACTCAAAGCAAATACAGAATAGATTAAAAAAGGTGATCAGAGAGGATCCGCTGTAGAAAAGCTGTCAGATGACTACGTTTCTCAGATTAATAATAAAGAAATTTACAGAACGTAAGGTGAAGATTTTTGGACAATTTAACTTCAGAAAGACCACTGATCAAATATCAGTATTCTTCTTCTTCTACGGCACTACAGCCCAAATTGAGCCTTGGCCTCCTTTCTTTTTTGCCTCCACCCTTGCTTGTCTGTGGCTGATCTCTATGCACGGACTCCTAAAAGGGCTTGTGGTCGCTGGTTACATTCTTATCACATTCCCGATCCATTGCAATCTTTGTATTCTAATGAAGTCTGACAGTCTTCTTCTTACGGTGCCTTATCCTTAAGGACATTGGCCATTACATTTGCTTATTTAATCTTATTTGTAGCACCCGGAATAGTTCTATGGAGGTCATGTTCGTCCATTGCCGTAAGTTTTTAAGCCAAGAGTTGCGTCTTCTTCCTGGTCCTCTTTTACTATTGACTTTGCCTTTGATTATAAGTTGGAGCAGTTCATACTTTTAATTTCTTATGATGTGACCAAAATATTGTGTTTTCCGTTCTTTTATTATAAGCATAAGCTCTCTTTCCTTATTCATCCTCCGCAAGACTTCCGCATTTGTCGTATGGCTCATGTAGGATATTCTGAGCATTTTACGGTAACACCAGAGATCGAATGCTTGGATTCTTTTTTGTGTTGCTTCTGTCATTGTCCAGGTTTCAACACCATAGAGCAAGGTGGAGAAAACATAGCACTTAATTATTCTAATTCTCAATGAGATGCCCAGCTGGCGGTTCCATAGAACGTTTTGCATTTTGTAAAACATTGTACGTGCCTTTTCCAGGCATATTCTTATCTCTAGTGAGTGGTCCCAAGTTTCATCAAGATTACTCCCAAGGTACGTTGTTCTTGTTACTCTTTCCAGATCTGTTCCGTCAACATTGACCTTCACCCTTCTGTTTTGGTGCTTGCTGATGACCATCGTTTTTGTTTTCTTTGTATTCAATTTCATTCCAAATTCTCTACAGGCTGTCGTTACTCGGTCCATTAAGCGTTGCAGGGCTTCAGCATTATCTGCCAGTATGATAGTGTCATCAGCATATCGCTGGTTATTTATACATTGCCCGTTTATAATTATACCATCCGAGGTGCCTTCCAAAGCTTTCTGAAATATCTTCTCAGAGTAAACATTCAACAGCAAAGGTGATAGGACACACCCCTGTCTTACTCCCTTCTCTATATTGATTTTTCCAGATCTTTCGCTTTTTATTCAGATTTTAGCCTTTTGTTCTTGGTAGAGGTTTGAAATGATCCTTAAGTCTTTATCTTCTGAAAGTCTATAAAACACAAGTATACATCAGAATTTACATCTCTACATCTTTCAACTAGCACACGTATTGAAAAAAGTGCTTCTCTTGTTCCGAACCCATTCTTAAAACCAAACTGAGTTTGACCAGTGTGTTCGTCTAGTTTATTGTATACTCTATTGTGTATTACTCGTAGGAAAAGCTTCAACATATGATTCATCAGGCTAATAATCCTATGGTCTTCACATTTCTTGAAGTTTCTCTTCTTTGGTAGTGGTATAAGCACCGAATACAGCCAATCATTTGGTATTATGCCTGTTTCATATATTTTTTTAAATATATCTTCTACTACTTCGATGTGTTCGTCTAGTAATATCTTTATTATTTCAATTGGGATATTATCTTCCCCAACAGCTTTTCCGTTCTTTATCTGGTTTGTCGCTTTGACAATTTCTTGCTTTGTGATATAAGGTCCAGTTGATGCCTCCTGCATGTAAATGTTCGTCCTCTCTCGGTCTTGAAATCTCTTCCACGTATTCTCTCCATCTACCTATTTGATCTTCTATGGTCAGTAGCGGGTTCCCATGTTTATCTTCGATGAAAGACGTAGGAGTTTGTTTAAATATTCCAACGGCTTCTTTTACTTTTTTATGTAGATTGAAAGTATCATGTCTTTGTTCCAACTCTTCAATTTCTTGGCATCTTTCACTTAGTCAGGTTTCTTTGGCTTGTTGGATCTTTATTTTGATATTCTTGTGTATTTGCTTGTATGTTGTTTCATTTTTACCTCTGTATTTTCTTCTTTCGTCCATCATGTTTAGAATTTCTTCTGTCATCCATGGTTTGTTCTTTTTTCGTGTATCTTGTTTGGGGTAGTCTTCTGTTACTCTTGTAAGTGTTTTCTCAATATAGTGCCAGTCTTCCTCGGGAGTTTGTGTCGATTCTGTTAATCAAGTGTCTATGTATTTCTTCCCGTATTTTATTACTAGTGGATTCTTCTTTAAGCTTATCTGAGTTAATAGCTATTATTTGCTTATTTCTTTTTGTTCTTTTAAATTCTATCCTAATTGTTGCAAGAAGAAGATTGTGGTCGGTGGGGATGTCAGCTCCGGGGTATGTCTTGCATGCTTTTACTGCGTTTTTGTATCTTTTGTTGACCATTATGTAATCGATTTGGTTTCTTGTGATGCGTCCTTCTATTCCATCTGCTGGAAATTTCCACGTGTAGAGACGTCTGGGTGGTAACTTGAAAAAGCTGTTCATTATACTGTACTGATTTTCTTTACAGAACTGAAGCAGTCTATCTCCCCTCTCATTTCTTATTCCGAGGCCAAACTCCCCCACCGTGTCATCTTCTCTTCCTTTTCCAATCTTGACGTTAAAGTCTCCTCATATTATGTTGGTTTCATGCTTCTTTGTCTGCAGTAGAGTTTTGTTTAGGTCTTTGTAAAATTGTTCTATTTCTTCTTTTGTGCTTTGGCTAGTTGGGGCATATACCTGGATAATATTCATATTGACTGGTTTGCTGTCTATTTTTATTAGCATTATTCTATTTGATGTTGGTAGTAATCCAGAAACTACTTTTGCAATTTCATTAGATGTAATTATTGCTACACCGTTTTTATTTTGAGTGCCTTCATCTCCAGAATAGAATACTGTATAGTTGCCCATCACACAGGTACCTGTATTTGGCTATCTTACCTCACTGCATCCCAGTATATCGATATCAAGTATTTTCATTTCTTAAATTAAATTTGCGATCTTTCCCGCTTCATATAGACTTCTCACATTCCATGTGCCTATTCTTTTTGTTTTCCTCCAGGGGATTCTTAGCATTCGCTCCTCATTTAAGAGGTGCCCGGGACTGAGGGCCGTTGTTTTAGATTCCATGAGCATTATGTAATTTTGCTGGGGAAATATTAGTGTAGTGGTTTCCCGTTGCCTTCTACACCGCTGTACATGTGCCGCTTCTGTGAATGTCACCACGCCACATGCTGTCTAATTCACAGCCATTTCAGTCTGCCTGTGGTTAGTGTTGGATCAGCCAGCTGCCACTTTCCAGTGCTAGTTTTATACAATCCCTAAAACCATTGGGCTGCCACCTCCGCTCTCCAGACCGTTGTGAAGACCTTCTCCTCCGCCCTGGATACCGTTGTGGACTTCATCCGTGACCCTGGACAAGGGACCCTTAACAAGTTCTAGTTTCACGGGCCAGGAAACACCTGGAATCTGCGGAAGGCAGGGATTGATTCACTTCCCCTGATAGGACTATCCGGAAGGAGTTCCTACCCGTTACCTCTGACAGTGGTGTTTCCTTATAAAGTTGATAAAGCTCGTTGTTATATCGACTTCTAAAGATTCCGTTTTCCCTCACAGATCCTAGTATTCTCCTCAGTACTTTCCTTTCGAATGTGTCGAGTTTGCTTTTCTATGTTTCTTTCAGAACCCATGCTTCACAGCCATAGCATGCTATTGGTCGAATTAAGGTTTTATAGATTCTCATCTTTGTATTTCGATGGACATTTTTAGATCGAAATATATGGGAAAGGGAAAATAAGCTCTATTTGCCTGCGTTATTCTCTTCCGCATTTCTCCACTTTCTGATCCGTCGGCATATATTTCTACTCCCAGGTATGTAAACTTTCCAACCGTTTCAATATCATCTTCATGTATGTTTTGTGGGACTATATTTCTTCTCGTCTGTATCATTATTTTTGTTTTTTCTGTGTTAATTTTCAGACCTAACGTGTGCTCCTGTTGATATTCTACTCATAATATTAATATCATCGGCATAAGCGGCCAGTTGAACCGTTCTGTTGGTCAGTAGGATTCCTCGTCCAGTTTGCATTTGCCTAACTGCATTTGTCCCTGCGAAATTTTAAAAAAGTCTGTCCGGTGGTTTTGTATTTGTACACATGCCTGAGTTTCATCCATTGTGGCTTTAATAAGTCTAATTAGCTTGTGTGGTATTACCAATTCAGCCGATATATTGTAAAATTTGTTCCTTTTGACTGAGTCGTATGCCTGTTTTAAGTCTACAAACACGTTGTGAACATCAATGTCAAGTTCCCATGATTTGCTCAAGATCTGTTTGACTGTAAATACTTGATCCAGTGTCGATATTCCCCGTCGGAAGCCAGTCTTGATACTCTCCAATAATATTTTCTGCTAGTTATTGTAGCCGCTGGTTTATAATATACGTAAGGACTTTATATGCTGTATATAGTAGAGAAATTCAACGGTAGTTTTTGCACTGGAATTTGTCTCCTTTTTTATAGATCGCGCATATTATACTTTTCTTCCAGCTCATCATGTCTTTGATGAGCGCGTGGATTTCGTCAA